TTTTCAAACACATTAGCCACTTGTCTGTTCCCAGACGTACATCTAACTGCAGGAGGAGTTTTCAGACGCTGAATCACTGTTTTACAGGGACGGAAAGCGAAGGTTAAATACCTGTCTTTGGGAGGGAGATATCAGATAGGCCTCACTGAGGTGATACCTCTTAGCTGGTTCAGATATTCTTATCTACGTTACGGAGAGGGTTTTGAATTCCCTTCTAGCACTCGAACTTCTCCAGTGATTACCAAAATACTCCTGTTTCCTATGCAGGACTGTGCACTTCACTCCTGAGAGATGCTTTGCTTTTAAGCGTGGCTGCTGCGCAACCGTGCATGCGCAGAACGCACCAGGGAAGGGGTTTGGGTTTCCTGCTCTGAGGAGAGCGTGTGGTGCTCCATGTTCAAAACGTGCAGCTACTGGATTGACAGTACTGTAAATATTCCTCCAGTTGCTGGCTCAGAAGAGCGTTTTTGTTCAGGCTGTGTAATTAGTACTCATTCAAATATCTGCATATGTGCAATTTAATTTATTTTTAGCTTGAGCTTAAAAAGTATTTTTGACTCTAGCCTGAAGGTCTATGTAAAACTTAAGCTAATGGAGTGAATAAACAAGCTAGATAGCACCTCAGATATAAATTAGTATGGTTAGTCAGTAGTACAACACAGTTATTTATGACTTTATTTTCTGTCTTTATAGCAAAGAAATATTTTTTATTTGTGTCGCTTAGGGTGAAAGTAAGTTACTGTTCTGTCAAACTGAGTTCACTGAGTTTCATAATGGAGTTATGAAAATTGAAGGTGTTTAAAATGTGCATGTACTTCTTTTGGTCTCTTCCAAACCCTGATATCCTTAGTTAATATAATGTCCTAGGTATATCTGATTCATCAAGTACAGGACCTGTACTTGAACTGTCTGTGTTTACATCAGTGTAACCCCACAAAGTTAAAACAACATAATGAGAATTTATGCTGTTTATACCTCGTGCCCCAGCTTATGAACATTCCCATTGATTTGAATAGCAAATTTTGTTCTCGCTTTCAAAAACATGCTTCTATGTATGTTTAGAAATCATGTACCTTATGCAGCTTAAATGAAAAGTTGCTTTTAGTAAAGGAATTGCTTTAGATATGGTACAGCATGCTCTGGTTTTTCCAGGGTGCTCCGTTTCTTTTGAGCCATGCAATTCTGTAGATGTTTACTTGTTCGGGTTTTCATATGAAATTTTCCATCAGTTCTTATCAAATGCTAATTATTCACAGGAATCAGTATGGTGAATATTTGTGTTATGTAGTTGCTCATATTTTTCTATGTAAGTTACTATTCTTGTCTATTTTAGCATTTTGATGTCTCCAGGGAAGTTATGAAAGCAAGGTCTTAATTAGTTTTTAAAACCTGCAGTTGTGTTAGTAAATATTTTACTTACGAACAGGCTCACTTGTTGCTGATTTTATTTTTTATAGGAATGGTTTTGTTTGATTATGTAGTCATTTTGACAAGTCCTTTTTTAAAATACTAGAGTATACATTGTGTAACACAGTATGTTATCAGTAGTCTAGTTACTAAGAATTGGTCAAAACCAAGGAAATCATACCCAAAAAGTTGGGCACTTCCAGTCTAACTGTAGGCTTTGACTGGGACAATTTGTGCTAATTGTGTTAGAGAATATTAGTTCCTTTGTTGTTGTGAAAGACTTAGGGTTTCATGCTTCAAGAAGTCAAATTATTAATGCATTTAACCCTTTGCCATCAGTAAATCAAATGGATTTTTTGGCTTCTTTTCTCTTGATGGTTGTTTAGATCTCCCTGCTTTCCTTTCCATGGCTAGTACTTTTTCTTCCTTCAGTGCATCTTCAGTATAAGGTACTCAGAGCAGGATTATTCATGTTTCTATTCAACTGCAATGGTTAGAAACTTGCTTTGTTTTTTAAAGGTACTTGAGTTTCTTATTTCATTTGTGGGCAACCAGAGTTGGGCCTTTAAGAGAAAACTACAAATATTGTAAAATTCAGAGCTTAATAGCTGGACCTTTACATACAAAGTAAAGGTCTTAACAACATTGTCTCATTCTCTGGGAACAGCCTACTGGGAACGGATAACAAAGAGCAAATCCATGCATACCATAGTGGTGTTTTACCATGCTAACCAGGGCAGTCTCAGAATCAGTTTGGAGCAAAGTAACTATCCCAAATTTGTGCAATGGATAGTCATTTTAGGATTTTACACATTTTACATTAATTTATGTATTTGCCTAGATGTCTGTAGAACTTGCTTCCTACATACCTTTTTATGGTTTTGGCATTAGCGCAAGACTTCAGTAAGTCTAATTTTGCTGTCTTTGTTAATACTGCAGAAGTACACAATATGTATTTTGATACTTCCATTTGAAACCTAATGAAAACATTTTTCTATATTTGATCCTAAACAATGGAGTTAATTGTATGCCTAAACAGTGTCAATCCTGTGCTGATGCTTAAATACTGTGAAGTCTTATTTTAGGCATGGTGGCAAAAGTTCTAGACATGGCGATATTTTAGGTCGGTACATCTAGAGATTTCGTATGTAGAGAGATTAGTGTAGATAGAGTTTATAGGCTTCTTCATCCATCTTTCCTTGAGAACACATGCTATTTGAAAGAGGAGTTTGGGATCTGGTTTGCCATAAATACTAATTACATTCTTCATGGGGGTTCTTGCTTTCATAGTCGTGATAACTGTTGCTTTGTGCTTCGTGGGCCAGCTCACAGCAGTTATTGTAGAGAGTAATGAATGATGTTTTTGTGCTGTACGGTTGACCACATCTGGGGGTGAGAACACAGTGGCAGCTAATTGGCCTGGCAAATGATCAAGCTGCTACAAAAGAGGATCTTGTGTTAGGCAGAAAAATAAAATCACAAGGAACTGTCATCCCTTGCTCCTTACTGATGGTTTGTAGTGGAAGTGTCAAACATTAGCCGTGGATATGATATTGAGATCTACTCTATGGCGTGCATTTCTGTCAGTGAATGCCTGAAATCAATTTGCAGTTATTAACTCCTTGTGAGTTAATCTCATCCCCCGCGATCTGTGTTAATTACTAGCTTGTAGAGTTGTGTCCATCTGCATTTGCTCTCCTTTTTGTCCTGGAACACTTGTGTACTTGACTTTTGAACTGGTCACATCAGTGAATGTTAAGGACAAATAGCCCTGCCTGAAAGTCTGTGTCGTGTTGCTTTGCATCAAGCAATTTCCTAGAAGTTGATGCTGCTCCTAGTTAAGATCTCAGACCTTTAGCTTTCTTTAAGCTTGAAGGAACTAGAATCATGAAAAATGAGGGAATTGCAATAATTCTGTGATGGGGGGACAGCAAAGATCACAATTTGCATTTTTATGTCTTGCTACTCTGTAGTTTAGCTCCCTCCCACAGAGACTGAGCCTCGCAGGTGCTGCCCTTCCCCGGCAGACTGCTTTGTGCCCATGCTGGAACCAGGTGCTTGCCTTTGCTCCAACCTTAGTAGCACAAGCGTGAGGAGTAGTAAAGTCTGGTTATTTCTTACAAACCCAGGAGTACCTTTGAGTGGGACAAAGCAAAAGGAATAGGGGGGAAATAGCATCTTTTGGACTGATGACGAACCGATTGCTCCAAAAGTTTGCAAGGATGAGATTGACAGCCTGCCAACGAGACAAACCTTCCTGCTGTTCCCACGGCCGCTTCATGTTGGTGTTAACAAGAAGGAAGAATAAAGTTCTTATGTCCTGCTAAATCATTTTGTTGACAGCGAGGTTTTAAAATAGAGAAGGCTTCAATATTATTTCAATATCTGTATTTAAAACAAGTGGATCAACAGGTCCAAATAACACGGCAGATGTGTGTTATTAACTAGCCATGTGATGGAAAATAGCTTTTGAGGGCTTTTGGTTCCTTCTAGTTTTGAAAACTGGTCTGTGGCATCTGACATAGCAAAGTACACCTGCTAAACATCGAGGTTATGCTATTGATTTCTAGACTAGGTATAGGTATGTTCCTAGCTCCCTCCCTTGTATCACTGCACATAACATCTGTCAGGACAAAATAGATACTGTCACAAATAGTTTATCACCTGTACAATCTTTGCTTGTATCTGCATGGGTTCTCTGAAATTTACATTTTTAAAATTTTTCCTTTTACTTAAAACAACTTTACCTCTACTATTTATTTATTTTCTGAAGAGTGTGTGGATATTGTTTATTTTACCTTTCGAATGCATGTTAAAAAGTAGGCAAACCAAAGGACAGTTTTATTCATATTTTACTGGATGAGCTAAGAAAATGTAAATTAAATAAGCATTTAGCTTCTTTGCCTACTGTGAGCTATCTGTGGTGTTAATAAGCAGACCAGATGCCTTGCAAGCTTGTTGTAAGCAATATGTAGAAAAAGAGGTGCCCTGTTCTATTATTTTGTTGATCCTCAAAAAACAATGAAAAAAAAATGTCATGCTTATGTAATCAGGAATTCGATGCTGTAAAAAGAAGGAAAAATACGGTAGCCTAAAAGCTTGCTATGGGATTACAGTTGTTCTTAGCACTTGATTGTTAAGCGTCTTTTACTGCTGTGTCTCTGAACTCTCATAACTGATAATTTAACTGCTAATTCAATTGTGTGATGATGGATTGCCATGAACAATTCCTTGAAGAGCACTACAAATTTAATCTGTGTTTATTAACTGTAGTGGGTTTTACTGCCTCTGTTACTTTGTGTGTTGGCACACAGTGATGTGTGTAATAAACATATACCAAAAAGAGATAGAAATTGGTAAACAAGACATATTTGCTAGAAAACTTTTTGGAGCGCACTTTTGGATGTAGAAGGCTGTGCTGATCCTCTGTTTTGCTGCTGAACTTTGACCATTATTTTCCTTTTGCCATAAGTGAAATATGTATAATGAACAGATTAAGATGAGATGATTTTTCTCTCTAACAGCACTATTCTATTTATAACTGTAAATCTTTTTTTTTTTTTTTCCCCCCTCCTCCCTCGCATCTGTAACAGCTAGCCGATGGCGGAACCTCTTCTCTACACCTGTCTCCTTGGCTTTTCCCTATAGTCCTGTTGCGAGACTCACCCCATATACCAATGGCTTTAATAGTCCCAGCTTCTCTAAAACCTCCAGTAAAGCAATACTAACACCTGAACGGACAGGTAATGCTTATCTTTTTATGGTGCTTACAAAGTTGCTTAATTGAATCTAATCTTGCTAGCATTTAACAGCAATACACTGTTCAGATGATTGTATATAGACTCAGAGGGAGATTTTTTTAAGATGACCTAAAATTTGGCAGTTAACTAGTAGTGTAGGTTATCTTCTGTGCTACACAGCATGTTATAGGAAAGTGATGCTAGTAAACAGAGCCTGTTCCTCCGTAATGGTTTACCTGAGAGTACAGTTGCGACTGCATCATCTTAAACAGTCCCCAGCTTTGTCTGCCCTTTACTGCTCATTTTTGCCCCACTGTGCCCCTTCCTTGTGTCTACAGAAACATTTGTGCAGCTGTGTGATGAAGTTGCAGGGAGAACTTACCTACTATAAAAATAGCTGGCAGAAGCATGGCTGGCATTGCTGCTATCCAAGGTTTATTTTGTGCTTGTCACTGATATTCAGGGAACACAGGAGTTTTAAGAAAAATACAAACTTTCTGTGGGCTGTAAATTGCAAAGAGTTGCATTTTTCCTTCTTTGCTACAGGTATCAGGAGTCAATTTATGTCTGTGACTTAAGGTGCAGTGGCAGTGGAGAATATAATCTGGGGAGGAGGCATTAACATTTTAATGCCTGGTGGGAGCAGGTGTGGTCTAAGAAGTCAGTATCAGCGTCACACTGATCTGTGCGCAATTTTCTTTACGTGTGAAATCAGTGCAGAAAGCCCTGTTAGGAATATAGGCACTGTGGGTGAGACACAGCTCCAGACTGGACACCTGGTGTAGGTGTCTGTGTGATTGAGATGTCTAAGCTCCCCTATGCAATGGGATGTAGTTTAGTTCCGAAATGAAGGCATCTCCATGCTATTTGAGATACCCTCTTGTCTAGCTTCCCACTGCTGCTCCAAAATGGCACAGCTGTTACTACCTCTGCAAAACCTCGAGGACCATTGTAACTTGCAAATTTAAAAAAGCAAACACATTTACCCCTTACAATCCTTCCAAAGCAAAGTAATCCTTTGTGTGTCCTTTTCTGTTGGAGGTGTTATTAAAGAACAGCTGAATTTAGGTTAAATTTTAGGTGGCTGTTTTGAGCAGTGCTAGAGGGTGCAAAAGCATCTGTGGTACAAGCACAGCTGATGAGCCATCGTCACAGCGGTTCTTGCCCTGCAGGCTGTGGGCCTCTGGTGGTCCAGAGGATATTAGAAAGTGATTTACTGTTTTATTTGAAGAACTTTTCTTTAAAGTTGGGCAACAACTACCTCATGCAACTAATTGCAATTTAGCTGGTATTTTAGTATCATGCAGGGAAAAAGTAGAATCCAGAGCCCTCTCCAGAAGGTAGCTCTGTGAAGGAGGCAATGCTTTCTCTGTTGCTGCATAATGTTCAGTCTTAATTGTTATTGTCATTGATTTATCTGATTATTATAAACAATTAAAAAACCAGTAAAATTTAGATAAACAGCTCTGATGTGAAATCTTGAGTACTGACCAGAAGGTGACGCATACACACTTGCTTTTCAGAACAAAGTAGGGAGAACCACAGTTCCATGAGAAGGATTCAAATGCAGATGTGTTTAGACTACGTAAACTAATCTGAGATGTATCAGAACCGTATTGGGTAAATTATTCATTGTCTGGGCTATGTGATGCTATTTTGGGAACAAGCAGAGGAATTCATGATCCATTACTACACTTAATACTCCTCACGAGTATCAAAGCCCTTTGCTAATTGTTAGTGGATTGCACTACACTTCTGAAAGTTTTTATCTGTTATACAGAAAATATTTTAAGCTACTGTAACATAAAGGGCAGATAGTTGTGAATGAAAGATACAGACATATTCACAGAGTAAAGGTTATGTTTTCTTCCATAGGTTACATTTCTAGGAGCTCCCCTTTGAGCCCACAGTCATCAATAGACAGTGAACTGAGCACCTCGGAGCTGGAGGATGATTCCATCTCCATGGGATACAAGCTGCAGGACCTCACCGATGTTCAAATCATGGCTCGTCTACAGGAGGAGAGTAAGTGGCTTTTTTTCTTCTTTCAAAATAGTCTGAGGGAGATTTCCCATAACAGTCAAAACTGCTCCAGTCTGGTCTCAGTCAAGTGGATCTTTCTTAAATTGTGTCGCCTCTTGAGTCGCAGGTGGAAAAACTCTTCACCTGCACGGAGAAGGTGTGCACGTTGTTGGGTTCAGGTTAATGGTACTGGATCTTTCAAAACTTAATGCTTGTATATTTCTGAATCCCAGCTGGTAGCTCCAAACCTGTTGAGTACATTTAGATTTAGAAGATATATAATGTCTTACCACATCAATTAAAATAATTTTATTGCTGGGGAGGGAAGATGCTAAAGGATTTTTCTCATGCATACATTTCATGAGAAAGGTAAAAATAAGCAGCTGTCATGGATTTCTTTGCCTCTACTTTGATTTTCTTATTTGTCAAATGAATTTTGAAATTAATTCCCCTTTAAATCCTGAATTGGGGCATTTAAATTTAACATTTTGGTTTGAGACTAGTGATTATGCACAAATCTGAGCCCAAAAGCTCGTTTGACATAGATTATAGTTTTGCTTGATAGTAATTTTTGGAAAAAGTCTTTATTCATAAATAAAGGGCATTTGACTTTAGAAGTCACTCAGACAGTAAGTGCAGTATCTTTCTCGCTTGCTATTAGTGCCAAGTGAGACATCAAGAAGGAAATGATGAAATGAAAAACAAGAGAAATTCAGAGCTGGTGACTGAAGGAAAATGCCAAGTAATAAGTGATTAAATAAAAATAAAATGTGAAGAAAAAATTAGAGCTGTGATCTGGCTGCAGCAACCAGACTGAGCAGGTCGGCACAATCACAATCAGCAGTTGAACTTGCTGAGCATCTGGTAGGACTTGTTATGTTCAGCAGAGAAATTAGTAAGTGTGAGACTTTACAAGATAGCTAAATTCTCAGCTGGCAAATGTGTGTGGTCACAGCTCAGAAAATATCTGATATTATGTGAAAGTTATAATAATTTTTAAAAAAAATTATGACTCTCAAAGATACGAAAGATTGTGTTACCTAAACGACAGCTATTATCATCTCCTACAGAGTGAGTTTTAAAAAAGACTTCAGGTACTTAGCTCCTTAAGGAATCAGGTCATTGGTAAACTGGAAGGAAAAACGCTGGTTTTCTTCTCATCTGTGTCAGGTGTAATGGTTGTGTCTCATTCTTGTGGTAGCAGCTGGTACAGAACGTTTGAGTGCGTGATGGTTGTTGTCCACTTAGTCCCGTGGAAAGCGGTAGTATTATACGTGCATGCAGGCACGCTCTCTTCGCAGCCATGAATAGAAGCTCCCACTCAAGGGCCAGGGGGGGAAGGCATATTAAGAAGTTTCCATTATGAAGCAAAGACATCTGTCAAAGCTGAGGGCTTTTTGTAAATCTAGGGAAGTCATTATCCGCAGCTATTGGCGGAATTACTTGGCGCCTGGAAATACAACGTACATCCCCCTTTTCCCTGGCTGCTGCACAGTCGGAAAAAGGGGGATGTACAAGGGCTGTGGATGTTTCCCTCTCACTTGACCCAGAGCAAACATGCACTTCTGGGGCAGTGCTAATAGTGGGATGGTTTTCAAAACCTGCTGTTCTCAGAAGGGGGTGGTAGGATGCCTACCTGTCTAAAACACAGCTGTGTTACCACTAAGCCTTGTCCATGAGACTGGCTGCTAGCAGCAACTAATTCTGGTTCAGGGAGGTTGGAGAGCCAGAATATTTACATGGGTCTTAAGTTTAGGAAATATTATTGTCAGCCTTTTCATTGCATCAATATAAAAGTTTAATAGCGATAACTTGGAAAACTAATAGAGTGAGCATTAGTTCCTTTAATTAAGAGTGTTTAAAAGTTAAATACTTAATCCTCATGTAGTCTTTCTATTGGCAGAGAAATAGGTGCCTCCTTAAGGCGGTTCATCTTATGTTAAGAGAGGCAACTAAGACATCTCACAGGTACTGCATTTTGGGGATGCCTGTATTCTTCTTTTATTTTTTTTATTGAAAAGGGATCTCAAGGGAGATAATGCAGGCTTAGATGCCTGCAAGGTAGACACCGAAAGTTAGATCAGATGAATCCTACCTCAGATCTTCAGCCTGGTGACACTGTAAATCCAATTCTTGCTGTAAAATTATGTCTACTCACCTGCTTAGTTTTCAAGTTTGAAGTGCATGTTAAGAGCTAATCACTTAACAGAAGCCGAATCATCCTCTTCTTGGAATTTACAGGCCTTAGGCAAGATTATGCTTCGACTTCAGCATCTGTGTCAAGGCACAGTTCGAGTGTCTCTCTGCACGCGGGGAAGAAAGGGACGTGCGGTGACCAGGAATACGATCGCTGTAGTCTTGAGGATGAGGAAGAGTTTGACCACCTCCCACCTCCGCAGCCGCGGCTGACTCGCTGCTCCCCCTTCCAGAGAGGGATTCCTCACTCACAGACTTTCTCCAGTATCCGGGACTGCAGGAGGAGCCCTACCTCCCCGCACTTCCCTTCCAATACTTATCAGCAGCCCTACTACTCTCCTCAAGCCCAAACTCCAGAGCAGCAACCAAATAGGATTAATGGAGGTGGGTTGCATGCTTTTCTGAGAAGTGATCTTTTCTCTGTGCAAAGTGCCAGTGCCGTTTTAAAGATCGAGTTGCGCCAACAGAGTGAGGTGCGTTTAGTGCATGACAGCTAGATCAGTCCGTGCGTTGTAACAAGCAATTGAAGCCTGTGCAAATGATTGAGGTACGTTGTTGTTAAGTAATTTGCTACAAAATGTAATCTGTGACCTGGTCATGAAAGCTGTTGCTTTAGTCTGTTTTAAAGTGCTGCAAGTATGACCGCAAGTGATGAAAGAAGAAAAAGGAAAGAAGAGCATCTTATAGCAGGCTGATAGTGGGTTAGAAGAACTAATCGGGCTTTTGAGCTTGGCCCATGCATGTCCATTGTGGATACAGTAAAATACAAAATAGGATTTTCAGATTGTCGTTCCCTTTCTTATTCCTGACTTGGCTGTTAGTGCATCTATGCTGTGAATCTGCAACGAGTGCTTATGGCAGGGGTCAACACTGCTCCTGTTCCAGGGCTGGTAGGGCAGACTGTTCAAGTAGTGGGAGATACTGTTGCTCCCAAACTATCCTGAGCCATTGCTGCTTTTTGCACTGCATTTGAGATGTATTCCAGAGTATCTGGAAGATTTGTGTCTTGGTGCTTACTCAAGACTTAAGTTTCCCTCCGTTGTTGCTGTTACCTTCCTTTCATTCTTTATTATGATCACAATTTTCTTCCTCCTGCTGCATCTTACTTTCCTGGTCCTTCAGTATTTTCCCCAAGCTAATTCAAAACAGTTTTCAGTCAGGGTCTTGTTTGTAACATTACAAGTTAAAGCTCACCCTTGGGCAGGAAAATGTGTTGTTCAAAACAACACAAACTTGCTATTTATAGAGCGCTACAGGTATGCCTGTTGCTTTCCTGACAAATAAGACATGACAGGTTGGTGCCAAAAGCACTTGCATTCACAGTAAGACATGGTGTGGAAGTATAATCAACAAGTGGCAGTATATAAAGAAGGCCGATGTTAACAGACGGTGGAGCAATGTGGGTGTTTGCTGGTACAGCATATGTGCCATATTAATTTCAATGATATTTTTCTTGCCAGTGAGGTACAAGAATGGGACAGCACTGATGAGCTTGCAGAAAATTTATTGGGGAGATAGAAAGGAAGGATATGGGGCGTTTTTGGTTCAGGAATGAGGGCAGGATGTAGTGCTGCAATCTTTTCGTATGGTCCCCAAATGCTTTTTCAACTTTTTTTTCATGTTCCATGTCAGTGGAACTTAAGCATTGGATTCCGACATGGAAACCTCAAAGTACTTAACAGGGCACTAAAAATACTAAACTCCTAGTTTATTAACTAGAAAGTGTATAAAGGTAAAAGGCCACCAATTTTAGCACCTGGTTGCCTTTTTTTCTCAGGAACTTTGAGGTGTTGGGTATCTGTTCAGTGTCACTGAGAAGGAGGACACACAACTTCAGTTACCTGTTTGCTGGAATGGCAGACAGCCCTATAATATCCAGTACTGCTATCTTTAGAGTGGAATTATCTCTTCAGCTTCGGCACCTTCAGCCTCTGACTCATGCAGCACTGATCCACGTAAGTGGCAAATGCTGATGGTGAGAATTTGACTGTGTCCTGTTGGCACACAGTCAAGTGTTTGCTGCATTGAGTATGTCTGAGTAGTATTACGACAACATCTTCTCATCGGCACTTCTCATCATCTTGGCAACAATTTCATTGTCTTTCAGGAACTCCTACACATTGAAATGGAGGTAGACTGCCAAACAAGAATTTGTCTGAAGCTCCATATGATGGACAGTGTGTTTCCACACTGTTACAGTTTACCAAGGCAAATGAGAAAGAGGGGTGTGATAGATGGAGGAGCTAAAGTGTTTAGTTACTGCTTTCAATACATGTGGAAAGCGTCATCCATAATTAATTAAAATTGCACATTCCGTATGCTCTGCTGCTCTCGGTCATTCCAACAGTCTTCCCAAATCTCTCTTCCTCCAAAGAGATGACTTGCGTTCTTGTAGGTGCAGTCAGCAGTCTGGCCATTGGTTTGATCATTCACAGAGCTCTCCATAGAAGAAGAGTAAGTGGCAAGTAAATACTGAATTTTGGCACTCAGTCTGGGGTGAAAAAAACAGCGTTTAGCTTTGACCCAGTGTCTCCCCAAAAATTCTCTATATGTTTAGCTCAAGTATAATTTTTTTCCTTTAGGAACAGATAGCATCAGGGGTGCTGTCCTACCTGCTTTTAGTGAAGTTTGGTGTGGCGTGGTAGTTGAGGTACTTATTCTAACTTTAACTACCTGTACTGTAACAAATACGCTGAAGGTGTGATAAACTTGGAAAACTTTAATAATTCTTTTAAGAGTATAATACTGGTCACCTGATGAGGAGCACCTGTGTTTCAATGCTGAGCTCTAGGTGCCCACATGTGTATGAAGGGCCCAATTTAGCTGCCCATGTATAAGCACTTAGGGGCTGTATGAGGTACTCAGATGCACCCTGCTTGGCTTCACCGTCGCTGTGTGTCAGTGCTTTTTAGATGCCTTAGACAGCCCAGGGTCTCTCAAATGGCATGAGGCATCTATACATAGGCACTGAATTGTGCACTAGGTGTCCAGTCTCACTATAGACAATGGTCTGCTTGTTCTCCATCCACAGGATTGCATTTTAGGTAGCAGAGAGATTGTCTGGAGTTTCTGACACCCTAGCAATCTTTTGCCTGTGCTTGGGGTGAGAATACTCTCTCAGATGTTTTCTAGCTGTGTTTCAGGCCATAATTTTGAACTCAATTGTTCTTGCCAGTGTATTTTAGCAAAGTGCTGCCCCTTGGTGTAATTTTGACACTCTGCCCTGTTTTAAATTGCTGTACATCTATTTTAAAATACTACACCATACATCTGTGTTAAAATACCATACCACCTAGCCCCCACACTCAGGCCGAAGTTCTTTCTCTCACCTTATCCCACCAGTACGTTGTCTGAGTCAATGGTACCAGTTCTGTTTACTGCCAGTCTCCAACAGCTTGCTGTACTGAAAGGCTCCTGGTAAATGCTAGTGGAGAGTGGCAGATAGGCTGCAGGCATACCTGTTACCTCTCAAACAACATTTTGCAGCCATCACCTGTAGCGTGTGTGTATTATCTTTGTTTTCAAATAAGTTTTATTTCCAGTTCTGCCAAGAATTTACTAATAGAAAAGCTTTGCATGAAATCAACTTTTTTTTTTTGCTACCTTGTTCAATTACACCCTCTCCCTAAATCAGCTGAATTGTCTGTAACAATGAGTTACATCAGAAAAATTCCACCTGAATTTTTTTAAGGCATTCTGTTTCAGGGATTTTGTCGTCAGTTAACGGATCAGAAGTAGATCATTTAAAGACGATCTGAGAGACAGGAGGTGAATAGCTTTTGAGTGTCTGTTGTAATTAGCTAGAGTCCGTCTAGTTAGTGTGTGTTTTATAATTTAACAAAGCTTTTAATATGTTGGCAGTGGAAAGATTTATGTTTATATCTCTTTCCCCTTCCTCTAATTTGAAGGCGTTCATGGTTAACAACTTAAAATGTTGCTAACTATTAATACCAAGAATACTTTGTATTCATTTTCGTATAAGAAATATCACCAAATTTCATAAAAACAAGCTGTTTTCTGCTTTATGTTGTCCATAAATGTATACTTTTTTTATTACTGTGACACAGAAGTAATCTCTTTCATTTTAACTTTCTTAAAAATATTTTTTTATTTCTGTTTGGTCACTTTATTCTTTTTTAATTTTTTGCCCTTTATTAGTTCTGATTTTCTGAAACAAGAAGTAATGGAGCTATAGTACTGTGAACACATCCAGAAGAGTCAAAATCCAGGATAGACAAGATACTGAAAATGGGATTGATCTTCTGGTGTTCAGGCCCACTTTCAAGATCTTTAGATAAGCTTAATCACAAACTTCGATCCTGGCACCCCTTATTTCATGTGCATTTTATAATGACCATTGGTATAATACCTGAAATTTGGAAACTTTGTGCTTTGGACAAATTATTCCAGCTAGAGAAGAAATTTTTTATAACTCAGTAAGAAGGGGCAGATGAAAATTACATCCTTCATTGAGTAGCAGTGCATGCAATTTGGTTAATTTTATTTTATATTTTCCATTACCTTTTCATGTTGATTTTTAACTTTTTTGCTTGGTTGATACCTTCATAAACAGGCCATGGATACCATTCACTTGAAAAATGTTGCTTTTATTTTCCAGAAATTACTAGCTATGAGTTACTTTACTGCATACCCTTCTGGAGAATAGCTTTTCTCAGGCAAAACATCATGATCGTCATTTGCTGTTGCAGCACCCTTGCCTCATTTGGAAAGCTGCAAATGGTTTTGTTGTTGGTTTGTTGTTTTGTTTTGTTCTGTTTTGTTTGGGGTTTGTTTTTTTGTTTGTTTTGTTTTGTTTTTTTAAGCAAACTCCAGGCAGACATAGAAGAGCAGCATTTCAGGGGCAATAGGTCTGTGTTTAGATATCAGTTCAGTACAGACTAACATTGATTGCTGTGTTTGGAGAGGTGGGAAAAGGTCTGTTCTTACTGATTTACAGAGTGTTTTTCTGCTCATAACCTCTCTTGTTCAGTAAGGAATGGAGAATTCACTGTAGGAAATTGTTGCAGACCCTTTATTAAAGAAAAGGAGAAAAAAAATCTTACTTCAGTCACCTTTTGAAGTTTTATTGAGAATAGTAATCAGTGGGGAGAAGTCTTGGAAGGATAATGGAAAAATCTTGAATTTGCTGTAACTATCTGTGGAGGGAGACATATGCCTGTGTAGCCAGGGTGAGATGAAAGAAGAATTCTAAATAAAATTGAAGTGTTCTACATTAGTAAAATGTAGGTATTGACAATTAAGAAGAATGGTGTCTCTTGCTTAAATGAAAGACTTGGTTTTAGTTCTTAACCTGTATTTGTATTTTTACACACTGATGTCCCTGTTGTATCAACTGAAAATTCCACAGACCTTTAATTAGACCC